TTTACCAATTAGAGATAAATAATTATAATTTATTGAAAATTACATTTACTATAAGATCGGGCAAATTACCATGGCCCTGGTCGGGTCCCGACCAGGATTCCAGATAGGGCAAATTGGCATGGCCCCGGTCGGGTTCCCTGTTTCATTTCAATCGGGCCCAAATCAGGTTTCTAGATCTGGCCCCGGTCGTGCCTGGTTTGGGCCCGACCAGGGCCCGGTCAAATTTTCTGCACGGGATACGATAAAATTTACCTGAAAGTTCTGCCGTGCTAAACTAAAATAATGTAACTTGTTTTTCACTTATAGGTTATGTTGCCCATTATGTTTCTTTTTTAAAAAAAAAAATATAGAGATTAAAATTTTGAAAAATTTAATTTAAATTTGACAGAAATAATTATTTCTACCTTCTGTGGATCAAATTTTTCATAATTTTAATTTTTATATTTTTTTTAAAAAAGAAGAAACATAATGGGCAACATAACCTAAATGAAGAAACAAGTTACGGTGTTTCAGTTTTGCACGTAAGATAGTTGCTTGTGGCTTATTGTTAGGAGTGGCGCTGGTTGTACATACATACATTGATCTGATATTTATTAAAATGCATTGGATAACAAAAAAATTTTATTTTCTCCTATTAAAATTCAAATAAAATATAATTCTTTCTTTTTTTTATAGTTAAGAAATAATATATTAATAATTAAAATAATATTGTGCATATCACAAATAATTTTTTTTTTTTTAATGAAACGTAACATTAAAGTAAAATTTAAATTTCCCACCGGGAATCGTAACACAATTTTTATTATAAAATAATGTACTTCGCTTCTTTTTATGAAGTGAATTATAATATGAAATATGATTAAAAGTATCTTGATCAATATTATGTACGAATAAATTAATTAAATTTTAACGAGTGGAAATTAAATTTTTGTTTTTTATTTTTATTCCATGCATTTTAATAAATATCAGCACAATGTACTGCCAGCGCCCTGCTTGGGCACATACAACTTTCAAGTGAATTTCAACTCATGAGTGTACCACCGCGTGTGCGTTTACCTTAGTGGACCGTGTTTATTTACCTGCTTTGTTTGAGCTTATATTGTTTTATAATGTGTAAATAAATCAAAAACCTATAAAATTTTTGTGAAAAAAATATAGTGTACAAATCTGTGAAACATGGCAGAAAATGCGAGTCTAGATACAGTAAGTACCCATAGCAGTGAAAATTTATATATATTTATTTGTATCTGAAAGAAAAGATAACCTTAAAATAAAAAGATTTGTAATCTGAAGAAAGACCTATGTAGAAGAAATTTGTAATACTTTATAAATAAAAAAAAAATTGAGGAAGAACCCAGATACCACGTAAGCTTGCTGCAAGCTTAAAATATTCCACCTGACCCAAGCTTGCATGGTAAGCTTACCGAAAGATTGCAGTGTAAGGTTACTGCAAGATTGCACAATAAGATTATCGCAAGATTGCTCAGTAAGCTTACACGGTAATCTTGTAGCAAGGTTGGTGTAAGCTTACTAAGCAATCTTGCGATAATGTTATTGTGCAATCTTGCACTAACCTTACACTGCAATCTTTCGGTAAGCTTACCATGCAAGCTTTGGTCAGGTGGGATATTTGAAGCTTGCAACAAGCTTACCGCAAGGATGCTGCAAGCTTACGTGCTATCTGGGATAAGAAGTTTGAATTATACAAATTTACTGTTTTGAGGTTATATTTTCGTGTCAATAATATTAATAATCAATATTTTGTTAATCTATTATATTTGGGCAATTAATTTAAACGATTATAGTTTCTTTTAATAAAAATAAAAATTATTGTGGAACACATTCTCATATAGTTATATGTATCAAAATATACTTCTGAATTATCATATAAAATCTGATGATTCTATTCTGTGTGAAGACAAAATTCTCCGAATTTGCATTTCTATATATATAAAGTTTTGAGATTTGCATCAAATTCAATTTGTTTAAGTTTTCCAGAAACCGAAATTTGTCCTTTGAATTTTAATAAGATTTCATTTATTTGAACTGCGTTCGTGTAATTTACACTTACACTTTCACTATAATAATGAAAATAACAGAAAAATTGTTTATTTAGAAAAAAAAGGAAAATTTAATTGTCAGTAAAAGTGTAAATAAAAAGTGCAATTACGGGAACGCACCCTTGCTTGCAAAATTCCAGACTTATAATTAAAAAAAAAAAAAAAGAAAAATGAAGCGTAAGGAATTTATGAATCATAAACAAAATTCAAAAGATGAAAATGATTAAAAACAAAAAATTGTTGATGAAAAATACAGAATTATTTTTATGGTAGCGTATAATAAATTTGAGAAAAGCACGCGACAGCAAATGAGGGGCAATTATTTGACGTAAATTTAAAGGTGGCTTCCTGTTACCAGAAAATGTTGGTCATTATATATTATTATAGCTTTTTCGTACATACGGCTTAATTTTCAGTTGAGCTTTTTTAAATGCAGGATTATAACAAAAAGAAAAATTTGTTACCAAAAAATCGTGTCTTTTTAAAATAACAAAAAATTTTTGACGGTATACAGCGGACATTATTATTTTCTTCTATTTTTGTAGATAGGGCACAATTTTCTGTAGATACGTCTCTTTTTAGTAGGAATACACGAAAATAATTGTAGATACGGTTAGTGTCTGTCTACTGTCAAAAAAAGTTTGCCGGTTTATTGAGGTCATTACTTTTTTCTTCTTCTATTTTTGTAGATACGGCATAATTTCTTGTAGATACGCCTTTTTTTTAGTAGCATTCCACGTACATAATTGTAGATACTTTACTTTCTCATTTTTTTTACTATCAACAGTTTTTGCTGGAATATCCCGGTCATTACTTTTTCCTTCTAGTTTTGTAGATACGGCATAATATTTTGTAGATACGCCTTTTTTAGTAGGATTCCACGAAAATAATTGTAGATACGGTTCATTCGCATCTTTTTACGGTCAACAATTTTTGCTGGTATATATTGTCGTCATTTCTTTTTTCTGTTTTTGAAGGTACGGCACATTTCTTTTGTAGATACGCCTTTTTTTAGTGGGATTCTACGAAAATAATTGTAGATACTATTCTTTCGCATTTTTTTACTATCAACAGTTTTTGCTGGAATATCCCAGTCATTATTTTTTTCTTCTATTTTTGTAGATACAGCATAATTTTTTGTAGATACGCCTTTTTTAGTAGGATTCCTCGAAAATAATTGTAAATACGGTTCTTTCGCATCTTTTTACTGTCAACAATTTTTGCTGGTACACAGTTTTCCTAAAAGTATCAAATTGAGACCAAAAATTGCATCAAATCTTTGCAACGTTTTGATGCACATAAATTATATCAAAAAGAGATCGTTTTGTGTATCATTTTTAGAAATGATACACGAAACGGTCTCATTTTTTGATGCAAAAAATTTAATCAATTTATATCAATCATGGTCGAATTGAATCGACTCAAAATTAAACGAATTTTTTTTCAGATATTTTGGTAATAGTACAATTGCGGAGACCATTTCACTATTTAATTTGAAAATGAAAATAACAGAAAATCAAAGACAATGTGCAATTCGATAATTAAAAAGTGACAGCTTATAAACATAACCTAAAATGCATGAGAAAAAATTTGTCGATAAAATCAATATAGCCGAGCTTTTTAGAAGGTAGATGGCAGCACTCATCTATTTTCTTTCTTTAAATTTTTTCTGAATCGTTTTTATAAAAAGCAAAACTGCCATCTACCTTCTAAAAAGCTCGGCTATATTGATTTTATCGACAAATTTTTTCTCATGCATTTTAGGTTATGTTTATAAGCTGTCACTTTTTAATTATCGAATTGCATATTGTCTTTGATTTTCTGTTATTTTCATTTTCAAATTAAATAGTGAAATGGTCTCCGCAATTGTACTATTACCAAAATATCTGAAAAAAATTCGTTTAATTTTGAGTCGATTCAATTCGGCCATGATTGATATAAATTGATTAAATTTTTTGCATCAAAAAATGAGACCGTTTCGTGTATCATTTCTAATATGATACACAAAATGATCTCTTTTTGATATAAATGTGCATCAAAACGTTGCAATAGAAAAAGATACAACCAAGTTTACTGTGTATATATTGTGGTCATTTCTTTTTTCTGTTTTTGAAGGTACGGCACATTTCTTTTGTAGATACGCCTTTTTTTAGTGGGATTCTACGAAAATAATTGTAGATACTATTCTTTCGCATTTTTTTTACTATCAACAGTTTTTGCTGGAATATCCCAGTCATTATTTTTTTCTTCTATTTTTGTAGATACGGCATAATTTTTTGTAGATACGTTTCTTTTTAGTAGCATTCCACGAAAATAAGTGTGGATACGGTTCGTTTCTTTTTACAATCAAAAAATGTTTGCCGGTATATCGCCGTAATTACTGCTTTTCTTCTTCTATTTTTGTAGATACGGTACAATTTTCTATAAATATGCCTCTTTTTTGTAGAATTTCACAAAAAAAAAATTGTATATACGCCTTTTTTAGTAAGATTCCACAAAAATAATTGTAGATACGGTTCTTTCGAATCTTTTTACTATTAACAATTTTTGCTACTATATGCGGCGATCATTACATTTTTTCTGTTTTTGGAGATACGGCACAATTTCTTGTAGATACGCTTCTTTATAGTAGAATTTCACAAAAACAATTGTAGATACGGTAAATAAGTTGAAATTTTTTTTCCAAAAAAAAAATTAATAATTATATTTCAAAGGAGATTATAGATAGATTTTTCATTTTTTTCCAAGTCGAGAGATAGAAAAAAAAAATTTCCTTTTTTTTTAAAAAAAATGGCAAATAATCAGTTTTTTTCATCAGGACGATAGCGCGATGATAAGGGATAAATGAGTTTGGCGCGCGCCGTCGCGTGCTAACATATATTCACCCAGTTTCACTTTTGAACCAAGTGGTTCCTTCCCTTCAGTATGATCCGCGCGGCCGGACCGCGAGGTTCTTTCATTTTCCGGATATATACTTTTTTCTCTTCGAGAAATTCAAATTTTTTTTCCCACCATGTTCTTCTCATGGAAAATAAAAATTAAAAAAAATTTGAACTAAATTATTAAAAATAAAATTGTGATTGGTAATTTTTATTTAAAAAAAAAGATGTACTTAAAATAACAAAAAAAAAAAAAAAAACAATTGTTACGACTAACTTTAAAAATAAAAGTTTTCACAAATTTTTTATTTAACGTATAGAAAAAAAGTTTCTGCAAAGTTGAAATTTTTTTTATACATTTAAAAAAAAAAACGCTACAAACACGTTTTTTACAAGTGACTGCGATTTATTATTTTTTGTTGAACCATTTTTATTGTTATGCATAGAATTTTAATTTTAAAATTCAATTCTATATATCTTTTTTTTTTTTTGAAAACGTGTTTCAATTTTAACATTTATCTATAAAAAATAGTTTTGAATTCGTAAATATGAGAACGATCATAAAATGTTGGTTTCTAGTTTTTTATGGCTTCACTCGAGTCAAATGGCACAGGGAAAATTAGTCACAGGAAAAAAAGGATTTTATGCTGTTATAAAGTGCACAGTTATTTTTTTTGGTTTTTTAGTTAAGAACTTGATGAAAAAAAAAAATTAATAAATTTTGTGTTTGGTGACAGTTTCAAGTGTTTTTTTTTTGTTTTAATAGTGTGCCAACATTTTTCATCAATTAAGCAATTTTATCGGAAAGTGGAAATAATTAATTCCTACGAAAATCGGTAATTTCCAAATAATATTTAAACAGTTGTTTAAAAAAATTTATTTTATAATTTTTTTTTCTATTTATTCTAATGAATCGAAATTTAAAAATTCAAAATAAAGAAAAATTTAATTATTCAAATATGTCCAATGGGAAAAATTTTTTTTTTTTGAATTTTTAAATTTTATTCCATTTGATTTATTTTTGTTATTATTGTTCTAATTAAATAAGTATCAAAAACTAATTTATAAATCAGTCTATATTTTTCTTGAATCGAATCAAAATCGGTTTATAAAACTATTAAATCAATTTATATATATATAGATTGATTTATACATTATATGGTTTTATAAACCGATTTTGATTCGATTTAAGAAATATTCCAAGACCATAAAAAAATATTATTATAAGATCGTATTTTTTTATACAGATATATATTCAGTGTGAAAAGAAATATAAAGGAGTTTTAGATCCCTTATAGAATGGATAATAATTCATAAATAATACTTTATTGTTATCCTAAAAATGTGTATTGTATTCTATTTGGTAAAAAATTTTTTTTTGGAAAATTGAACAAGTTTTTTTTTTTTTTTTTTTAATTCGTGTGCATATAATATATGTATATATATGAATTATAAGACCTTATTCTTGAAATATATATAGGGTGTCCATAATAATAAATATCCTGTTGACATATTCAAAAGTCAAGGTTAAAAAGTGTCATAAAGTTCCGGCATAATAATGAAGGATAATTCTCAAGGAAGAGATATTTCTGTTATTAAAAAAGAAGCTTGCAGCATCCTTCAAAAATTATCTTTCATACAAAGCTTACGCATATATAATTTCTATTTCACTTTTAATTTTTTCATGAATAAAGAAATTAATTAGAACTGAATAATTATGCAAAAAAGAAAAAAAATTGTTTTTTTCATTAAAAATAATTTTTGTTTGTATTTATTGAAAAAAATTAATAATTAAAATTTACTTTAATTACTAATATTAAAAAACATAGAATAACTATTAAAATACATGCTATATGAATACATGGTATACACTGAAAAAAATTTATTTGATTCAAATAATTAGTTACTTGACTATTATCAAATATATATTTCCCTGAACCTAATAATATTTATTTGCGAAAAATAAATTTTCTTTTTTCAAATAAAGAAATTATTGGTTTAAATACAGTTTATTTGATTCAAATAAAAATTATTTATAATACAAATAAAAATTTATTTGATAATAGTTAAAGTAAGTGATTGAATTGATCCTTTGATTAAAATATTACAGTTGATTTTTTCACACAAACTTTGATAAAAAAAATCAATAAATAATGTTAGAAATTTTTGAGTAAATAATTGATTTGCGGAATATTTCAGATATGGCGAAATTTTTATTTTAATTTTTTATTTATTTATTTTATTTTAATTTTATTTTAATTTTAGGCCTAATCTGAAATATTACGCAATCAGGGTTGCCACAGGTCAGGGAATTCGTGGGAAAACTCAGAGAATATAAAATTTGGTCAAAAAAATTAAGGAAAAGTCTAGGATTTTTATTGAAAACATTGAAAAAATATCAAAGAGCTGAATTTGTTTAAAAAAAAATTCCGCCTTTTTTAAAAATATAGAGAAAATTAATAAAAATTTACCATGATTTAAAGAAAAAAAAATATTCTGTCAGGGTCAGGGAAAAAGACAAATTTTTTTTTTCTTGAAATTAGGGAAAAATAAATTCAATTTTTTGTGGCAACACTGTTTATATTCAAAAATTAAAAAATGTCAAAAAAAAACCCATTTTTTGCCAAAAATTACAAGCTTAAAATTTAAAAATCAAAAATTAATTTGTACAAAATTAAAGTTTAGGAACAAAAAAAAGAATTTGAAATTTTAAAGAAAATATAAATTTTTTTTTCTCTGTCGTATATATTTATAATAATTTTCGTATTCATTAATTCATTTCGTCTGTTTAAACATGAAGTTTGCGTCACATTTACGTTTGCATTTGTTTTTGATAGATTTTCAAAAAATTTCGTGTATTTTATAATACAGTTATGATATATTGATATTGTTTTCATTTACAAAAAAATGTGTTATTGATTAAAATTCAGGTTAGTTTTTATTTATCACAATTTAAAAAAAATGATTTCTTTACGGGTTTTTAATATTTTTTATGTTTTTAATTTTTTATTAAATTAGTTTGTTAATTATAACATTATAAAATAACATTTTTTGTATGAAATTAATAATTAGAAATTATTAACATTATTGTTAAAATTGTGCTTTTTTTAAAAAAATTATTATTTAAGTTTTCTTTTTAATAAAAATATTTAGTAATATTTACATAATAACAATATATTTTATTTATCCAAACTTACTAAAAGTATAAATGATTTGTTTCACTTCTTAGAAATAATTAAATTATTATAGAAAAATATTTTCTCAAATGTAATAACAATATAAAAAAAACAAATTATTTAAAAAAAAACTATTTAAACTTTTTAAAAATTTAATATTTTGCAAATTATTATTTATTATTATCTATGTATATTTATTTTCGCTGACATATAAAAACATTTAATTTAAAAGTTTTAATGGATTAATTTTCAATTACCCGGTATTTGAATTTACTTTTTAAAATAATCTAGGTAATTTACACTTTGGTTAGTTTCAATATTTTAATATTCAACATAGCCTATGAATTATAAAGTTTTTAAATTTAAAATTTCGAGGTTATAAAGTGATGCCTTGGAAGCAGCTCCAATTAATAATTATTTAACTTTATAAAAAAAAAAAAAAAGTTGGCCATAAAATATAAAAAATAGAAATTTTATTATTTAAAAATGAAACTTTCGTAACAGTTTTTGATTTTACATAGTTTGCCTTAACTTTTATATTTTAATTATTTACATTTTATCTTTAACCTTATATTACTCTAAAGTGATTTAATTTTTATACAATTAATTATTTATATAATTTTAATATTATATTTATAATAATTTCTATTGGATAATTAATAATCGGGTATAAATGTCATTTTACAGATGAAACAAAACCTACTTAAATATAATAGATTTACATATTTTAACCAATTAAATGATTTTTAAATGAAAATGTAATACAATATAATTAAAATTATGTTTTTTTTTTTTTTTTTAAAGATTGATTGATTTTAAAGAAATTTAAATTTATTCTTGGAAAAATTCAATTATTTTTGAAAAATGATAAAAAGTTTATAAATAGTTATTTTCGTATAAAGGGCACAAAATAGGTGATTGCGGCTCAGGGGAGATTATGAAGACCGAGGGGACCGCGAGCGCTCATAGCGAATTTCGCCCCATACATGGGGAGGATTTCTCGTGAAGTGATCAAATAGGAAAAAAATGGTTTTTTTTTTGTAATTATTTTTTTCTCTTAAATGTCCAGAAAAAATGGTACGATTTTTTTTTTAATCGAAAGCTGAGAATTATTCCTACAAAAATATATACCCAATCAAAAATTTACTAATGGCGCAGTACTGACAAATACTGGCGCAGTGCTGGCACCCAGTATTGGCGCCAGAGTTGGCGTAACATTGGGATGATAACATTTTACCAGTATTGGCTACCAGGGTTGGCACCAGTATTGGTAACCACTACTGGTTCAGTACTGGCCGAGTACTGGCAGTTTTGTAATTTATTGTATACGAAAAGAAAGCTTCAACTGTAACAGAGATAAGTTTCACTCCAGGTAATACTTTTTTGGTATACTTAGGAAAAAGTGTCTGAAATTTTTAGTAACCCAACACAAATTAAATATTAATTAAGTTAGTAAACTAACTAATTAATATTTTATTATATAAATTCGAAAACACAAAGAACTTTCATTCCTCCTTATAATATATATTGCAAATTATTATTTTAAAAAATCAAAAAATAAATATAAAAATATGTTTATTATAAAACCAAAGTTTTTATAATATATAAAAAAACAGTTCAGTAAAAATAAAAATGTTTGTAAAATAATTATAATGTATATAATTATGCAATTAACTATTTGATTATTTTATTATTCACTTTAATTTATTAATTATTATATCAAATATAAATAAATTAACATTGAATTCAATTCATTTTACATAAAACAAAATTAGTTTACAAATTAACTCATCACAAATATAATGATTTAATAAATAATGAATATTACATTCCTGAAATTAGGTAATTATTAAAAAAATTATTTAAATTATTTTTAAATTAACATTACATTTTTGTTTATAATTCACTTTTGGAAAAAAAACTGAAGAATAACATCCAGAAACAAATTACAATAATTTTATTGACCATTGAAATATATAAGTTTGTAGGTTTAACTATTTTTTATAATTTCTATTAAGAAAGGTTATAATTATATATTTTATATTATTGATAATATAAAATTTGTGCAATTTTACTTGCGATTGTATTTAATTTTTTAAATTAAATTTATATTATAAATTTTATTTTTATAAAATATTAATTTTTTATAAACAAATTTATTTATTTTTAGTTTGATCGTTTAAAATTTTTTTTTGTTTATTGCATATCTGAAAACAAAAAGAAAATCTTGCAAAATGTTTTAGTCTTGGTCTCAGGAAACTTTTTGTTTAAATAATTTTACCCACAAAAAAGAAAAATAAAGTACATTTTAATTTTGAAAAATAAAATCAAGTTGAAAAAATTTTGTTGAACAAAATATTTAAACAAAAAGATTCATCGGGTTCACTCTAGAACTTTTTGTAAACTAGTGTTAATCAAAAAGAAAATCTATTTGAGCCAGTACTGGCTCAATATCGGCTCAGTACTGGTTTGTCAGTACTGGGAGGGTGGTACTGCACCAGTACTGATACAATGAAAATACCAGTGCTGGTTTAGTACAGACTGCCCCAGCCTTGGCAGCCAATACTGAACCAGTACTGCGCCAATAGTGAACTCTGGTATAATACTGAAATTTTTGGTTGGGTAGTTGAAAAAATGGTACAAGAATGTTTAAATATTGA